GGTTTTTTGGGGTTTTTTGTTGTTGTTTTTTGTTGTTTTTTTTGGGGGGGACAACTATTATTGGCATGAGTATATGTACAAACGTCGACGAAACACAGAAACATATTGTCTAAGATATACCCGCATCACGTACATCGCTATCGAGTGCCATTTCTTGTCTTCTTGTCACCATCAAACATCGGTGCCTGGCAGTAGTCTACAAGAAAATTGTCTTTCCCAAAAGGAAATTATGCGCATTAATTAAATAAATAAATAAATTTGTAAATATGCGAGCCTGGACCAGATAATCTCCTGACTGAGTGAGTATGGTTTTACGCCGCTTTTAGCAATATTCCAGCAATATCGCGAAACGTACACCAGAAATGTACCCATGTGGGGAATCGAACCGGGGTCTTCGGCGTGACGAGTGAACCCTTTAACCCACAGCCCCCCTAGTGACTGACATCACGAGCATCTATCTACACCGTTGGGATACAGTGACATGTATCAAACTATTCGTATGTGCTTGCCATAATAGACTAACGGGATGGGTAGTCAGGCTCGCTGATTTGTTGATGCTTGTCATGGTTTATAGATCAATATTCATGTTTTCAGACAACACTCTATTATTTGCCGACCGCCGTTATATGGACTAACAACGAGTCTCTGAAATTAACATATTTTACAGATAAAACGGACTTTCTAGACTTGCCACATATTCTAGACTTCTTTGAGTGGCATTTTAGAAATTGGGAAGTACAATATAGAACAAACTTTATGGATAACATATAACGAATAAAAAGAAGTTGTTATCCATAAAGTTTGTTCTATATTTTTCTAGACTTGAATGGGCTCCTTGGATATATTTGTATCAGGGTCTGTATGTCAGAACAGCCGTTTAACGGTTAGATAGCTGCAACAACAAACAAACAAGATATTTCACCGTCTACATGATCTATAGTGAACAGATTATCGACACAAAGACCGGAAAGTCGTGTCATTACCACAGACCAAAGATAGTTCATGTTTTTTGTTTTATACCCTGGCGCTCGGCATAAAGGGAATAAAACGAGCACTTGTCAAATAGGATTTAGTATGTTGTGTCCGAGTCGGTTGTCCATGTTAACCCTGATGCACAGTACCCCTGGAATGTTTCCGCACCAGCAACCACACCTGTCCACACATATACGTGTATTCCCATCCCTTTATAGGGTTAATACTCTAAAGTCACCTTAAAATCCATTTCATTTCACTATACAGAACAATGACTCGGGACGAAATTAATCACATGAAAGACACAACACGGGCACAGACGGGATATTATAGTGGCGCTTCAGTCAATAAATACTCGCTCCCTCGGTTAGCAGGTTATGTCGGACACATCTATTCAAGCGAAAACCACTTTATGTAGCTCAAAAGAAAAAAACAACAACAAAAAACAACAACAACCGAGCCCCTAGTTTCTAACGCAAGAGTTAGAGTTACCCGTGAAGATCGGGATTAGATTTGGTCTTCAGCAACCCATGCCTTGTCGTAAGAGGCGACTAACGTGATCGGATGGTCAGGCTCGCTGGCTTGGTTGACACATGTCATCGTATCCCAACTGCGCAGAGCAATGCTCATGGTGTTAATCACTAGATCGTCTGGTCCCATGTAGCTTGGATATTGCTGAGTGCGGCGTAAACAACAAACAAAACAAATGATGCAGAACGTCGAAAAACATGACGTCAGCAAATCTATACTTCATCATGACGTCGTGGTCGGCATTCTCTTCCCACAGAGGTTACTCCTGTGAAGAGAATGCGTGGTCGGATGCTATGATCTTGTAATCGATTCCTACCATTGCTTGCTTTAATTGAACGTACGCCAAGTAAAGGGGTTCCACATATTATACCCATGTGAAGTATACAATGGGCTTTCGCCATACCAAATTAACTACAAGTCACCAGCGCTGCTTTCAGTGAGAATTGCTTTACGTCGCATTTAACAGAAATCGGACATAACAACAACTACTTTTATGCAAGTTATGTCAAATAAACTAATTTCATGCAAGTTATGTCCAATCTTAAATCGTTTTATTCATAACTGGCAACTCGTACCATCCAAAACCTGGATACGATTCCCTACATGGGTACAGTCGACTACGCAGCCCAGTTATGATGTCCCCTGTCGCACTTTGATCAAACGCCTTAACCACTAGGCTACCCCACCACCCAACTAAGGAATTACAACTCTCTGCTCAATTATTTGACCCTGACAAATACAACTGTGTACCATTCTTCGATTCCAATTCAGTACTATGTGTTATTCATATCAGGTGGCCCGTCAGTATTAAACGCTTTCATTTGTTATGTGGATGAATGGGCCATCCTTCCATATGATAGAGGTAGCACTTGACAGGTGACACGTTGGATTTAACGCTACAGTCAGCAATTTTCAAACTATTTCAGAAAAAGAGTACTGTATAAACATAAAATATATGTAAATATATAAGCCATAAGTTCGTCAACGTGGGTGTCAGACTGTCAGTACTTTCCTTGTTTAAAGAAGTGAGTAATATTAGTGAATAATTCACAGGGGCGGATACAGCTTTTTTGAGAAAGGGGTGCACACTATTGAGAAAAGGAGGGGTGCACACTTCATTTCTACCCGAGTTTCAATGGTCATTTAACAAACTTTCAGCACAAAGGGGGGTGGGGGTGGGGTGTTTGCGCACCCCCGCACCCCCTCTGGATCCGCCTATGATTCAATTAATTGATAAATAGCAATGTATCTAACTTCAATGTTTATCGATGTGAATAAATGATAAAATAAAAAACATTCACCATTCGCTACCATCACACTTTGTACAAGTAACAATTACTTTATTGTTTTACGACGTTTCATGATTTTCCCTTGCGCCTGCACAAGGTAAATACTGACCAAGCCTATTGGGTATATAAATGATTCATTTACAAATAAACTAATTTAACAATAGTATTAATTTGTCTTTATGGATAATTCCAGGCTTTTCTCTATACGGCATTTTAATTTGAAATTCGTTTTAGAACTACTTAGATGAAATTAGTGAAACATACAACTGGAAATCATACTAAAAATATTTCTCTGTTTGTATAGAAACATTATTTAATTAAAACACTTTCAACCTATAATTAAGTGGATATATTTACATCTGTCCCGCCGAGTGTATTTGATTTCTGACGTTACCTTCTATAACGTATGATCTGCATTAACAACTCTTCGATTGTGTAATTATTGAATAGTTATTATTCACATGATACAATTCAACAATCCAGTTTGAAACTTACCTCGATAACAGCACAATACACATTGTAAATCCTTTCTTTAAAAACACAAATCCAACATTCACCTAAACGGAGACTATCCTGAAGGAACGCAATGTGAACGATGATAGAAAGTTGGCTTTTTTTATTTATTGAAGTACAACATTAAATCACGCGACCTCGATAGTGAGTGTCGGACCATTATAATCGCCCAATGTCGGAGCCCTCGCATGACCTACAGTCCTATATTTTGGTGTTCGGAAACTAACAGCGAGTTATTGTATGGTGTGGTATTAAACGATTTGAGAACTCGCACTCTGATTGGTAGCGGTTATTAGCTGGTGTAGTATACACCTTATATTAACCGTGTGTACACGGTGCACACGTCATTATTCAGTACCAACCATAACCATTCGACGTCGTAAGCCTTGTTTTATGTATATTCAAGTAAACATAGTCACTTCATCCGATGAAGGGATGTGTAATGATCCCGAAACGTTTTGTGGGAAAGTATATTGAAGCATAAATCCATGAAATATCTTGGTCATAGCTCTTATGTTCAAAATATAATGTTTTAAGAAGCATGATGTTCTTTTGTGTTAAATGGTGCACTGTTTATATTGTTGGTTTTAAACTTAAATGGAAATGAAACTCATTAAAACATCAAAACATCTATAACTTTGAAATAATCGATATACACATTCAGTTTGAAATCAAATAGCTTTAGTGAGTGAGTATGGTTTTCGCCACTTTTAGCAATATTCCAGCAATATCACGGCGAGGGACACCAGGAATGGGCTTTAACCACTTTAACCACTAAGCTACACCTACGCCCCCTCAAATAGCTTTACATCGTGCACTATGTAATTGTTTTATTAGGTATAACATATAATTCTAAACCGCTTGCTAATATTTATAGTGTTTTATAAAAATATACTAGTGTTTTCCAACTATGATTACAAAATAAAGCAATAGTTTTCATGACAGTATTATAGCCAATAAATGGTCACATAAGCCCACACGGCTCGTTTACCAAATTCATAAAAGACAAAACAAAACATGTTTAGCCATACACTCGGTGTTATGGAATCTGTGGGCATATAAATAAAACACTGGAAACTGAAATTCAGTGAAAACACTGCTCAGTTAGGATGTGGATTACATGTCTTTCCGGAGTCATCAAACTCATAACAGGCCACGTGACTACTGACTAGGATACAATTATAGGTCATTTTCATGCTCAATTAGGTTATATGAAGGTAGCACCTCAAATTCTTCAGAATGATGTGTATCCGTTTGGAAATGGTGGAAAATGTTAACTTTGAAATTTTGAAGATTTGAATGGAAAATATCATCCACGGGAAGCCTATCATCCATCATCATCGTAAACATGCTGGAGAGTCCCTTCCTGAACACACAAAACCGACGACTGTTTCTCTGTATTTGAGTATACAAACATATTATCAAAACTGTTTTCTGAACCAACTGAATGGGAGTTATGGAATCTTGTCAACAGTGACTTCGATGAAGTTTTTAGATATCATAAATAGATGACATAAAGTATAATCTCGATTTTTTTCAAATCAAAGATTAACATTTGCAAGCTAGTTACTTCATCGTGAAATTGGAAATTGTCAAATAACTAATTTGGATTCTAAATCCATTTTCCGGCTCTTGTTTGTGTCTTTTTTCCACACTCTCGCAAATTCTCGCTGAAGTCACATGATCAGTGTTAGAGACCAATATGGCGTCTATCTATGAAAATGTAACGAGGAAGAAACCGAAACTTTCAGCAACGTGTATAAGGTTGTGCCATTTCACATGAGAAGCGTGTGAAATGGTGTGCCACGATAGAAATAAAGTAAAGCTATGAAGAAAGCTTCAAGTACGAGTAATGAAGCGAAACCTGACGTTGACAAAGCAAAGAAAATCTACAGGTGCGGCTAGTGGCCCGATGACGAGTCACTGTTTACTTTAATTTTTTGTTCAATGGACCTAATCAGTTACTAATTAAGTTAAAAAATTAATGAACTAACGCATAACAGCAAATATTAAATCCATATTAAATATGGTTTAGAAGGAAGTAGGTACATCAGCATGTCAATGTTTCGACAAATATTTGAAAAAGCATGCTGTATATTTTTATACGATGTGGAAATATTATGAGGGAGAGTCATGACATCCTTATGTTCTTGTACATGGGTGTAGATAATGAGCAGAAAGTCTAAACCCTCCAAATGCACATGCCATTCGTGTCATTAGACAGTAACGTGACCATTGACAGATTTCGGAAATGATATCTTCCAGAGACGTAATGGGGTACAGACGGAGACACCATACGTTGTTTCCTTAGCTCTTGCATGTGACAGTAGTTTGTCACTCAGCTAGAAATCTGTATGTCTGCATGCTGGTAGTGGGCATGTCAGTTACCTATGTGTCCATACGTTGCAAATGTACATCTGAGTACACAGTGATTATGTTAATTCTGACTGCATTAACGACCAGATCAACACTTAGGCAATTATTTCGTGAAACTCGAACTAAACATGTCACATCAAGTCTCATGGACAACAATGTGTATGTATGTGTAAGGGAAACCTATTGTGACATCTCTATTGGTTTTGTTAGGCAGTTGTCAAGATGAGGAATGAAGAAGGTACTGTTATTATCATCATCTAACTTGAAATATTGTATTTTTGTTATATATTTTGAAAATGCTATAATATTTATTGTCCATGAAGACACAGATCCAACTTTATTCCCACTAGAAAATCAATCTACGGATATCACTGTCTCAGACAGTTCTGACCTTTAATTTGATTGTTTAATGTTATGTATGTTATGTCAGTTCTCACTCCCAGATATGCAGTGATTGTGAAATTATGTGAGGACAAATCTATATTCTGGGGTTTCACCTAAATGTTAAAAATCTAAGACCTGCATGAAATTGGCATGCACTAATGTAACTGGAATAGTGCCCAAAGCTGCCTCAAACCCAACTCACTCATGTATTGTGTTGAACTGGAACCTTTCTACGTTCATCTATACCTAGCTCCAACTGTGACTATGTAGTTAAGCTTATTCTCTGTATTTCTAAGGGACACAACTATGACAGTGATATTTACACCCCTCCTTCTGTTAATATACTTTGACAGTCATGATGCATTGTGGTACTGATAAACATAATCATCATCATGAAACTACTTCAAATGAATACAGCCGTAATAATTCACTTCACACTTTCTGTAATTCATTATTTCACATTATTTACATGATTGCTTATTTTCAGTTATTAAGTATTGCAATTTTACTTGCATTAAAACTGGTGTTGAATCAATGGCATAATCATTGAGTCATAATGATAAAGAGTGTGTTGCTTTACAAAAATGTTTATGTTGTACATTTGAAAAATACTGTGATCATGACCTACTGTTGTTTCTTACAGAGCTGCTCTTGATGCAATTCGTCGTCTTGATGAGATAAGCAAACAGAAGAAAGCATACAGAGATGTGTTCTTGCAAGATGCTGTTGGACTCAGAAATAAGTCAGTACCTGCTTTGTTGTGTGGATAGGAGGCAAAATGACATTTAGAGTCCTCGTTAGGTTAGCTGCCAAGACATTTGTATGAAACATTGATAATCGTTTTGTGAAGTATTTGCTACCTCCATGGTCTTGTGAATCATGCATCTGTCGATAGAACAACATGTATGTGGTTTGATACCTGCTTGTGTAGTGCAAAAAGATATATGCAGATGGTATTGGTTGTTTCACTGTTTTCTTGAAACCGTGCATGGTCTGCTCATTGGAGTGGAGTATTCACAGTCAAAGGTGTAACGTGTACAGAATTCATGTTAAATTGCAGCATGGAATCTGAACCAGTTCTATACACATGATAAATCTGGCGTCTGTCCGGACAAGAGATCCATCCCTTGAATAAAATAATACAAATATGTATTAGGATGTACATAATCTGTTAAACACTATTCAACTTTTTTTTACATGAAGTTGCACGCCACAAGTGTGTTTACACAAATATGTCTCAGTCAAACTTTATGTTTTGTCAGCTGATATGCACAGTACTTGTGCTGACAGGTTTCATCAAACTGCTTAGCATCTGCTATCTGCCCATCTTTAGCAGTCAAAGACATAACATGTACATGAGACTGCCTACAGTCTCTTGTATGCGAGATGTGTATGTAATGCTTACGCTTTCAGGTACTAAGTGAAATGCTTCACTGTGACAAGCCAACTCAGGTGTTTAAATACACTAATGCTGTACGTTCTTTGTGTTACAGACTCAAGGAGTATTGTGAGAGGTTGATGTTCTACAACCCCAGTGACTATGGCCGAAAAGCAGAGGAGGTTTTATGGAGGAAGGTGTTCTATGACATCATCCAGGTTGTCAAACACAATAGGAAGGTCAGTGGCAGGTTTCCATCTCTAGTCACTTATGATCAAGATCCTGTAGATGTGAAGCATGATCCCATTCCCTCCCTGAAATTTGAAATTTAGAGGTACCAATAACATTAACCACGTCTGACTGATGCAGCTGTTTAGATGGAAGCTTTTCTATGGAAGCTAATACTTTTACAGAGAGCTTGAAATCTGGGGGTGTTATTGTTTTCCAAAATCGGTTTAGTATGGTTAGATCTCTAGGAAACATAACTGTACATTTAAAACACAACAGGTGTTTCTCCTAAATACAATGTATATCCTTATTATGTTCATGCAAAGAGTTTTGATACAAATATCATAACACGATAACAGCATGCCTTAACCTTCACTGTACATTGTTTAATGCTGTCTGTGTTTGTTTGTACTTAGCATGTGCGTCCCCACGGGTCCCTGGAGACGGCCTACCGGACACACCTGGCTTCAGCGACTGGGTACTACCAGCATCTGCTGTTCAGGCTGCAGCAAGAGTTTGGCCTCAAGTTGTCCGGCATTCTAGACTTTCATCTTGTTGCTGATCCCAAACCAGGTAATGTGGATATCAGCTTTATCGTTGTTAGAAGTGACTGCGGGGCGGTGGGGTAGCCTAGTGGTTAAAGCGTTGGCTCGTCACGCCGAAGACCCGGGTTCGATTCCCCACATGGGCACAATGTGTTAAGTCCATTTCTGGTGTCCCCCGCCGTGATATTGCTGGAATATTGCTAAAAGCGGCGTAAAACTAAACTCAGTCAGTCAGTCAGTAGAAGTGACTGCTGTTTTCACTCTTGCCATCCTGTTGCAATAGTAGCCCACACCAGCCCAATAGTATTGCTGTAGTTGTCAAGAATTGCAATAGTTTGATAAGCTAGTAAACCAGCTTTAACATGTTGAAGGCTTGATTATCACATCAGTCAATGTTTAAGAAATGAATTAAAATATCACTGACTATCTCAAAGATGGCTATTTCCTCCTCCCTCCCTCCCTCTCACTCTCTCTCACTCACTCACTCACTCACTCACTCACTCACTCACTCACTCTCACTCCAATCATCTCACAAACCACGGGGGATGTAACTCTAGTCTGAAGTTGTGTTAATCCTTCCTTAAAAATACAAAGCCAATTTGAAATTCACATAATATTTGTTGTATTTATAACTGGATGTAACTACTAAACTAGATCAGTACACTGTTGCCTCCATTTTGATACAGCTTAAATATGGTTGACTGCCATGTAAAACAACTGAATAACAAATGTGTGTAAGGTGAACCATTTGTCAACTGATGTCCATGTGCATTCCAGTAAAGAAACACAGCAGCAGTAGTAGCAGCAGCAGTGGTAGCAAGAAGACACCGCAGTCTGTGATTGAGTGGGCGCAGAGAGCCTGTCACAGATGTCTCATTTGTCTTGGAGACATTGGTAAGTTGTAATCAGAGGATACAGTGTTCCCCTTGAGTTATCCAGATCAGCAATATCTGGATCAACTAGTCATGGTTAAAAAACAAAGAAAGTATGCCAAAGAAAGAATTTGATTCTTTATCCATTAAAATGCTTCATGTCAAAGCAAGTTATGACCACTTATTTGCACCTAGAAGAACAAGCTATACAGTTAAAAAAACCTTGCCAATCCAAGATATTACTTTTTATATGAATTGATTTATATGCATTTTTGTGATGATGTGAAAGTGCTCATCATCGAATGTTGTGTTTTAGCCCGGTATCAGCAGGACTTTGATCACGGCGTGAGTGGCGCCACAGCAGAGAGATACTACTACCAAGCCATCATGCTGTTCCCTGATATCGGCAAGTAGCAGCAGTACTTGTAGCCTGAATCACTTCAATATAACCATCATTTGGACCAGCTTTAAAATGGTCCCAAGATGCTTATGTTTGCCAAAGAGGAATCTATGTTAGATTGGGTGGTCATTAGGCTTGTTGACTTGGTTGTTTCTCTTCACTTGTGTATGGGATGACTCCCTCTGCCTTGATTATATATCTCCCATTGTTGTAAAAACTATAGCTCAATCTTCCAATCCCTTTACTCAAGAAATATTGGAAGGATTAGAACTGATGAGAGATGAAAAACTGTATATCCAGCCATCTTATTTAATACTTCGTTAAGTGGCTTATTCATGTGTGAAACATGACATCACTTTTTGTTTGAATGAAAATGTCTGTTTGCTGCATATTTTGATGTGCAGTCCATATATGAAACAATTGGATTTTAGCAACCCATGCTTGTCATAAGAGGCGACTAAGAGGATCCGATGTTAATGTTAATGTATCCCAATTGCATAGATTAATGCGTATGCTGTTGTTCACTGGATTGTCTGATCCAGACTTGATTATTTACAGACCACTGCAGGGCTCCAGATAATTTTTCAACATCAGGAGTACGTACTCCTTATTTGTTCAATATAGGAGTACTGGAAAACCTTAAGTGTACATTTAGAGTACTGAATGGAAATTAATGGACTATCAGTAATCTTGTGTTTCATTTCATATATGCACCACAATATTGCTACTCTTGTTTAAACAGGTCAATAAACAATAAAACAATACTTTTTTCAGATAAATACGTCTGTAAATGGTTCTAAGACTGTACACCATTGCTGTTGTGCGTATCTGCTACGTTTTCTAAATTATTTCCTACCGTATCGTGTATATGTTTATCCGTACATACGCCGATACAGCCCTTATCTGGAGCCCTGCCACTGCCATATAGCTGGAATAAAGCTGAGAGTAGCATTAAACAACAAACAAACAAACCATACATGAAAGACATGCTATATGGTCTTTCTCCTATGATATATTGCTACACTGACATTTCGTCACAGTGCTGTGCAGACCATTGTGACATCTTTGGTTACCATGGTTGTCATGAGTCCATATCAAATGATATCACTGACTATGATAAGCTAAGCCAGTTAGCTGTCATTTTCACACTCAAGACACTGGACTTTACTGTATACAATCTGAAATTGTTAGAAGAACAATAACAAATGATGAATAGAACATCAAATACATCAACACCAATCAATAAGATGAAGCCATTGCCAACCCTTTGATATTCAAACTTTCACATGTTGGTGTTGGTACATTTGATATCAAAGACAATTGAAATCACCTGGGGCTTTACAGTATATACAATGACATAATGTATGGATGAAAACATCGGGTAAAGTATGTTTAAAAATCTGTAAGAATTCTGTCTTAGTACTCCTACCTCATCCCATTCTCTTCCCACAGAGATTACTTGTCATATCTTCCTACGAACCTCTGTTCTAATACGTCCCTGTCTTGGTGCGAGTGTTCAGGATTCGTGATTGGTTGCAATCAGATTTAGTTGTGCAATCAGCGACGTTGTTTCAAAAGTGATCATTCGCAAGGCCTCAGTTATTTCCGTATGCTTCGGGAAAACTAGAACCTCTTTCCCTGCGCAATGCGCAAACGTTTCTTATAGACATAACTCAGTCATGTAAATGGCGAATCAATGGCATCTCCATCGCCCTCGTTGACAACGGACAAGCTAGCCATTAAATGTCTTGTGTGTCACATCAACACAAGTTCCTGGCAGAGGAGGGCTATTTGTGACCCAACATTTGCTTGTATTAGTCAAGTTGATGTAACACGTGTTCTGATTGGACAGTAAGAAGGGAGATAATTCATTTTTCGATTTTTTTGCCGCTAGGGGATTTTACGAGAACCGGGAAATATGACCGTATTAGAACAGAGGTTCGTAGTAGGAAATGACAGGTAACCTCTGTGGGAAGAGAATGACCTCATCCAGGCTATAACAGTGATGAATGATTGTTGTATTGCAGGTATGCCCCACAACCAGCTTGGGACTTTGTCTGCTTCCCGCTACTACAGCTGTGAGGCTGCCTATCACTATATCAGATGGTGGGTACTGCACACTGTGAGCAATCCAGGGCAAAATGGGTCTCCCATTTGATATGATGCAACATTACCATAACTGTTAAAAATGTTAAATAATCAATCAAATAAAATGCAGCAAAACTTAATAATGTAAATCAATATTTCTAAAACATAAAATATGTTTCCCGGTAAAACAGAACATCATTGGGACATGATTGTTATAAATACTGATCATTCGATCACAATCTCTTACTTGACTGGTCATTTTTTCACCACCTTGCATAAGCATGTATTATTGCTCATGAACGGTCTGTTTGTCGCAGACTTGCTTGTTTACAGGCTGTTTGAACAAACCAGGTACAGTGTGGATTATTGGGGACTGTGGAATAAGACTTTCTTGGTGGTCACATTGTCCTCAGAGATGATAACTTCTAAGATTCTCTCTCCAAAATGTTGAATGATACCACAGTTAAACATTGGTTTGCTTTTATAAAAATTGTATTCATGGGTAGAAATGTAAGTAAAATCAGATGAAACAGTGTTCTCAATGTCTGTGGCAGTATGTCGACAGAGAAGTCGTTTGAAGGAGCCCATGGTAACCTGCAACGACTGTTTGAGAAGAACCACAAGAGGTACCTGGAACTTGGGCAGCTTCAGCAGCAGCATCGTGACCTCACTCCAGACCAGCAACAGTGAGTTAGGAAACCTTTTCTTCCATTCAAACCTGTTGCCAGACAAATAAAACTTGTTAGTTTCATGGTTTTGTCATATATTCTTTATGTTCATTCATCTGAAGGGGCGGTGGGGTAGCCAAGTGGTTAAAGCGTTCTCGTCACGACGAAGACCCTGGTTCAATTCCCCACATGGGTACCAAAGTGTGAAGCCCATTTCTGGTGTCCCCCACCATGATATTGCTGGAATATTGCTAAAAGCAGCTTAAAACTAAACTCACTCACTCACCCACTCACTCATTCATCTGAAGTAAACTTTACAGTCATAATATGGCTGAAATACTGCCCATGTGACTGAATTTAAACCCAATCACTCATTCACCTGAATGAGAATTTATCAAACTAGCATTTTCTTCAGTAAATATCTCTTAAGAAGAAAATTGAATTTTTTCCTTATGCTGACTCATGCTTATTCCTTATCTTCCTTCTTCTTTCGATGGTTAAGTGGAAACTTGAATCCCTAGTTCCCTGAAGCGATCATAATATCATTCACCCATGAGTAGCCTCCCTTTTCTCACCAAAACGGTCCTATGTCGCCTGAGCCTAGCTCTCATCACTCGTTCATCGCCCAAGCAGATGATATTATGTGGTCATATGGGTTCCTTTTGCAGTGTATATCTTTGTTATTTCAGCCTTCTATTCTAAATTTGTGGCCGTGAATTGCATTTGTATAGATTTTAGATTCATCACGATGTATTGTATTATGTAAATTTCTACTAATTTCAGTGTTTACACTCCATTGCAGGTGATTGTTTATAGATGGTGGCATGTCACCAATGTAGATTACGTTTGTCTGCAGCTGATCCTCACCCTGATTGCTGTGATTACTGTAAACTGGAAATATTCTGCGCCTAAATTTTTTTGTGTCAGCATACCCCCAGCCTGTTCTTCGACGTATTACTTTTGCGAGAGTAGTAGGCTTTGCAAAAACAACACTAAAACTACATGGCTTACATATTGTGAAGAAGAACAGAGACTCAGTCATTCTTGGATGGAGGGCATCCTGTCTTCTCGATGAAGTAATCAGGTAGTAAGCTGCTTTTGTTAGAGTATTTGAGACATGGTAATAATATGTATGGTCGTCTATTTCCCGATATCAGTGGTTTTCCGCTTGGTAACGTGATACAACAGCAGGAAATACCTCTGTTTTGGAAGCTTTGTACAAATAACATGAGAGGCAATTCGTTTGATGGCGGGTATCGTTTGAAAGATCTGAGCATCAACAATATCACTGTACCCTTGCCAAGAGTATTTTCGCAGTTGTAAGAAGCGATTTTATTGGATAAAGATTGGTTTCTAGTGATGCTTTTCTGCCACAGTCTGCTATGAGGATCGTGATTTCTCAAAATCATGCACGTGACCTAAGGCAGCTAATCATATTACAGCAATGGATAAGGATCTCGAAAATGAAAACTTTTAGATTCAGACGAAAGTTTTGGGTAAGATCATGCTATTCTGAATGTGTTACGCAAAATATCACCACCTATACGTATATTATGAAACTTAGTGCACGTATCATGCTAAGTTATGACCTGTGACAAAAATGCTTCATACATAATATATTTTAGCATTAAACATTGTGTCCAAGCACTAAGTTCGAGGCAACAAAAGCTGAGATGTCTCTTGAATTACTTTACACGATCACACCAAAAAGATGGAAATAGTAAGTTGTAATGTAATTTGAGGACTTTTATGAATACTGTTATCGATTTTATTCTTCAGTTTATTAAATTTATTTAATTATTATCTCGAAACATCGTTACTTTGCTCCATGACAACTTTGAGGTAGACCCGTTGCCGAAGCATGTGTCCGAGAATTGTTTTTTTTTAAAATAACTTTGCGAAAAATAGTTTATGATTCTAAATTTTTAAACTTATCCTATCTCACGGTATGCACTTCTCTCTCTTGATTCGACACTGAGTGGAACGATGTAAACTTTTTCCCTAGGCCTCTCTGGTCCATCCGCCCAAGCACTCCATGCTACCCTCACTATAAGACAGCTTCCTAGCTCTCAAGCAAAGCATGCGGCATGCACCACTAGCTGCCCACGTGACTATCTCTGAATCATCATTCTCTTTCTTGTCGCACACGAGTGTGGACGTATTTTGCTTTGCTCAACGTTTTCAACTTAGTCTACAACATGGGAAAAGTTGACCAGTCAAAAGAAGAGGAAATATGCTCCCAGTGTAATAAAGTGTTCTCCGCGAGTGATCCACATGGATATTGTATTGACTGTATGGGACAGTGGAAATGGGACTCCCGTCGCGATAAATGCAAGGTTCTTACTTGGTGACTACACCCGGGCTTGCGTTCGTCGTGTTGCTGACAGGGCTCGTTATGCCGCTTCACTTGACGGACCCAGTCCCTCCAAGTAATTGAAGTTTAAGTGCCCTACTTTGTCTGCTTGGCGGTCACAGTCCCCTCATTCGAATGAGGAGGATTTCATGAGAGCGTCGTCAGATTCTTACTTATCGGAAGACATTCAACATTTGTTGGGCTCTCAACATTCCAGCCCGAGTCCTTCGTCTTCGACCACGTCCGGGTAGAGGTTGTCGAGACTGCTACCACCCCTCAGGAGACCTCTACACAGTGGGACCTTCGAACTACGCTCTCTGTCTCTCGTTCACCGGACCAGTTATCTCGGCAACCTGGCTTATCTGTTTCGGACAAGAATCAGCTGATCTCTACGCCTGACTGCACAGAAGCCGTTCTGGCTCTCATTCATCCAGTAGTGAGAGGAACCAGTCTACCTCGCCTCAATGCCTGTCAGTGGTTATTTCGCCGTCTCCTTCCCATTCGGCGGAAAGAAGTGTGTCTTGCGTCCCGCTACCTAGATCTTCTGCTTCGCCGAAGCCTGCGAGATCGAATCACAGTTAGCCGGATCATGCTTCGCCTGTCCGCTGCCCTCCATCTCGACTTTCGCCGGACTGTCCACCTTCCCCAGAATTAGACTGTCTCTCTACGAAACAGCTTTCGCTGAACCGGTCTTCATCGAAAGGCCAGTCTACGCTTCGGCATTCTCCGGATCAATCGTCTTCTAAACAGACTTCACCTAATCGAACCTCGTCGAATCAGTCTTCACCTAATCGAACCTCGTCGAATCACACTTCACCTCATCGAACTTCATCTAATCAATGTTCGCCGAAATGGAAGACTTCACTGAAACAGCATGTGATGAACCGACTTTCGCCGATATGGCTTTCTTCCAAGCGGTATTCAACGGAACGCCCTTCTCCGGATCATCTGTGTACTTCCCTGAACTCTGTTGGATCCTACAGTCATGTCTCCTCAGCACGGACACGGCTTTCACCGGGTCGTTGGAACAAGGCTCCTATTATTCTTCGGATTTGTTCACCGGATAGACCTGGTAGATCTACTTCACCGCCGAGACGCCACTCTTCCACTCGTTTGCATTCAACTAAGCAACGCCTCCATCTACTTCGTTGAGATCGGTTCTTCGATCGAAGTCACCTCCTCGGACTTCATCTTCTCAATTGTCAGCATGGGACTTTCTCTTCTACGCACTCAACCCGTCCACCTAGATCTCCTACACAATCGACTGCTGCCTATCGTTCAAGATCCAGGGATCATCATTCTCGTTATGATACTTCCCCTCCTTGTTCCCGATCTCCTCATCGGGTCTCCATATGTGGCGTCTTCTTCTGGTTCGCCCGTCTCCAGACATCAATATGGTTCTACAGATAGGAGATCTACTCAACGGGGCTCCGATTATAGATCTCAGCGTGCTACGACTTCTGACGGGGCTCCTGCCTTCTCGCGTGTCTCTAGTCTACTCGGATTGTACCAGAATCCTGGACTCCTGCGCAGGAAACTACTCCTCCCCCAGATCTGGCTGCGATGTTGAGTGCTATTTACTACTGCTTGGAATCAGCAACAGTCTGCTCCCTCGATAGGGACCGAATGCGCATTCAACGTACCATGGCTGCATCTACTTAATTGGCATTCACCGAAACGAAATTCGCCAGACCGTCTTTCCTCAAACCAGAGATCGTTGAACCAGCATTTATCGAATCCGCAGTCACTGAATAGACGTTTTTCGACTTAACTAGCCGTCCCATGGTTCACCTAACTCATCCAAGTATCATCGTTGAACGCTTGTATATCTGAGCTTCACACGCTTGTTGTCAATCCACTGGGACTTGATCGTGAAAATCCAACTGCCAGGGTAACCGGACTGGATGTTTACCATTCCCCCGTTGTCCACTTTTGGGCCTGATGATACTGAAGATTTGACACTCTGCCCTGTTAGGACTCTACACCTTTACATTGCTGCCTCCAAGGATCGTCGATGGCTACGAAAGCGCCTCTTCATACCCTTGTCGGCGGCTTCAAAGCTGAGGTTTCCTGAGCCACGTTGACTTTCTGAATCCGTGGCGCGATCCTATGAGCCTCCAATTTGCAGGGTTGCCGCCGCCAATCCTCATGAGACTCCTGCATTAGCCTCGATGATGGCCTTCCGTAGCAACTGCTCCTTGACCGCTCTCATGGAAGGTTGCTTCTGACGTTCAGATATAGTCTTCTCTTCACATTAACTGTGAGACTACACAAGTTCTGTCCTGGGACTACACTAGTTTGGACCTCGGCAGCTTACATCAGCCCACCAACGCAGTTGAGGGACAGTTCCGCCGCTTGCGCGTTACTGCTTCTTTCTACATATGGAACAAAGTTGAATAGGATCTCAATCATTGTTCTCAAGTTATGGGGTTAAGAACTACTTCACTTGGCTTCCATACCAAGGCATTGGAAGATGGCGATGCAGAGGTGTTCGACATTCACGCTTACTACCCTCTACTCCACGGAGCAATTACATCAGTGAAGTGTGACACTCCCGAATTCCAGTGGATTTCGTTGCGTTCCGACTCCGAAGTTGCCGGGCACATCCTTTGACTAAGCTTCTGCAAAGGAGTGAGGGTCAATTTGATGCTGTCCCGGAACTGAACGTTAAAACTTGGAGTTCCCGAGTTGTGCTTCTCTTTCACCGGCCCCTGGTCGGTGTCTGTGGGGGTCTTCTCGAAGCAGGGTCTGGCCCGATTATTGTCAACCGACTTTAATTTACGGGGGTACCTTGAAAATTGTGGCAAAGTGACATCCTTTCTCGCTGAGCTGCGTCCTTCTTCGGAGGTTGCTGCCGAACACCACATCGCTCAGGAGCACCCATCTCCCTGGGATACGTTGTGATTAGTAAGCCAAACAGTTCAAGAGAACTCAGCACAAGCATAGGAGTTGTGTGCATGCGTAACAGGCCTCCCTTGTGCATCGCTATCTACGGTCGTTTCCAGTCTACATAGTTCCTGCTGTTCACACTGCCAAGACACAGGGTATCTGCGTCCCGCCGTCCGACCGTGGGATAAGTGCATACCATGAGATAGGATAAGTTTAAAAATTTGAATTTTTTTATATAAATTGTATATTTATATACTTAACCCATCTCACACGACCGATTCCCGCCCATCCTCCCCGCTATGCAGATTCTCCAAGAGGGATATTATCCAGTGGCTCCAAGAAAGAGAATGATGATTCGGAGATAGTCACGTGGGCAGCTACTGGTGCATGGTGCTTTGCATGAGAGCTAGGAAGCTGTCTTATAGTGAGGGTAGCATGGAGTGCGTGGGATGGACAAGAGAAGCCTAGGGAAAAAGTTTACATCGTTCCACTCAGTGTCGAATCAAGAGAGAGAAGTGCATACCGTGAGATAGGATAAGTATATATACATATACAATTTATATTAAAATTTTCTATTCTGTAGATAGTATATGGTCATTTGAAATGTAAGAAGTGTTTTGAGACATTGTGAAAAGTGATTGATTTAAAAAATGAATCATACGTTAGTTAGGTTCCTAAAATTATATATCAATTTGATGCGACTGGCTGGTTTACCAGCCTACAGTGTCTGGGGACTCGTGAAGTCTTGGCCGTTTTTCGGCCTACGGTGTTGAATGGGTTAATATTACTACGCCAAGAATCTTTTGTGTGGGGAAGAGAAATGCAGAATTCGCAAAATATAAACTGACGCAGAATATTTCGGGTTTACAGTATTCATGCTCTTTAGTCTCACGTTGTACATATTGTGCACATTTGTCACCCATCTTATTTAATAAGTATTTATTCGCACATTTACGCAAGGTCGTGGATAAACAAGGCAGCATCTGAGAGGGGTGAATTTCAGGCATCAGAGTGTGAGATGTTACAGAATTCTATGGAGATTTCCTCGGGGTTTTTTGCTGTCTCTGTCGCTCTTAACAGAGACAGCTACACAATCTACCTCTAAGAGGAAGTCATCTGACACAGGAGTCAGTCAACTACAACGACTGGCTAGGAAGAAGAGGGCATCTATGTCATGGTCCACTATTGTGTCTACACAGTTTGCGAAAGGATCCGCAAACCAGTCTACCAGTAGTCATTCTAGTAGTCTCTGCCAGCGCAGAGAGAGTTAGCATCCGCAGAAGATTTTGCGAACTCTCGTACGCAGACAACATCTACTAATCAACATCATCAGCGAAGTATTACGGCTACATTGCAGTCTTGCATGAACCCTCCTAGATCTACAAACCCACCTTTGGACCATGACTTTGTGGCTAATGTTACACGACAAGTGGCCTTAATTATGCAACAACAGCATTCAACAGAGAGGCAACAGCCAATTAGTCATTCTACTCCTACGGCATCTATGATCACTGACGCCATCTATGACGAAGCACTGGTTTCAGATACGAGCGTCCACGAACTGGAGGAGTCAACTATCTACACGGATTCCGAAGTTTTGTCTTGGATAGCAGATGGTATACCGATAACTTCTCATAACACGAACTTGGCATACCACATAGTGGATGAAGATCAAGACACACTGACGATCCCACCGATAAAGCCGATATCTCAGGTCCCGTCTAACCTCAAGTCAGCGTTCGCGAATGCTACCAGACACCAAGGCCAGACTACCATGCTAAGTCTTTACTACGAACACCTTGGGCAGCATCTACACTACACATTCTCCAATTTTCCTAGTACCGAAAAAAAATCCAAGAAGTTCCGCCTCATCTACAACACGAAGCATTTCAACCTAGACTAAAACCAGACAAGTTCAAGATACCACAGTTGCGACATCTAATCAGACCCAACGATTATCTGGCCAGCATAAATCTTCATGGCACCTATCTGCACATCCCCATACATCTGGGCTCGAGGAAATATCTACGATTCCTATACCAAGGACAACATTACCAGTGGAGGGTCCTCCCCTTTGGAATTTCGTCGGGCCTGTGGCTATTTACATGTGTGACAAAACCCATAGTGGCATTTTTACACCAGAGAGGATTCCGCAGTGCCTTCTACCTAGAAGACGGCATACAGGTGCATCAACTAGCAGGGTAACTCAGATGTCAGCTAGACTTTACAATCCAGTTACTAAGTCAACTTGGCTGGTTAGTCAATCGAATGAAATCAGAACTAGAACCATCACGGGAGCTGCAGTTCCTTGGAATCAAGTTCCTCACCACAAGGAACTGCATCGTGGTCCCAGAGGATCGGTGGACAAGCATACAGGCTTGTCTTCCCACCGCAGTGGACGAACCTCTACCAATAAGAGAATGGGAGAAACATTTGGGGCTCTTAACATCAACACAGTCTCTTACACGCAGGGGAAGGCTACAGTTATGTCTAAATCAATGTTTCCTACGACCTCATCTAGACAGTCAGCAAAGGATATCCAGCCCTCTACATCTGTAGAAATATCTACTTTGGTGGACAGACAAGTCGAATGTTTGCGACAAGACTTATTTGCAAGAGGCGGCTTAGTCTACATCTCTTCGTCGACACATCCCTGCAAGGATGGGGAGCACACTTCAACGAAGAAGTTGCATCAGGAGTTTGGTCACCAAAGGAAAGGAACCTGCACATAAAGCAACTGAAATTCAAGGTGGTTATCGAAGCAGTTCAACATTGGGCGCACATACTAAGGAATCAAGTTCTCATGATCCACACAGACAACTCGACATGAGCATTTTACATAAACCGACAAGGCTCAACAAGATCAGGGCCCCTATTGCAACTGACGTTCCACCTCTTCAACCTAGTTGACAATCTCAACTTATGGATAAGAGCTTGCCACATTCCAGGAGCAAAGAGTGTCTTAGCAGACGCCTTATCCAGACCAGTCCGACCATCTCCTACGGAATGGATGTTACATCCAGAAGCATCATGGTTGTCCTCATAGATCTATCTCCTGGTACTAAGAATCAACTACTGGGTCCACCAGATAGTCAATTCCACGTACCAGCATTGTCATCAGTCCTTGGACAACAGGATACAGAGGACTTGTCCCTATGTCCAGGTTTGAACATCTATTTACAACAGGCTGCTACAAGAAGGAGGAAGTTCAAACATCTCTTTATTCCACTATTACCCGCCACAACTATTGAAGTCTCTCGAACCACAATATCTTTTTGGATCAGAGCTGTTATTCTGCGAGCTTACAAAGCAGCAGGACTGTCTCCACCTAGAGCGTCTAATCCTCATGAAATTAGAGTATTAGCATCGACACTCGCGCTACAGGGGAATTGCTCATCATCATCCATTATGGAAGGCTGCTGTTGGAAATCTGACACAGTGTTTGCTAATTATTATCTTCGAGACATCGCTGCAGAAGACGTATCAGGCATACACCAGTTCGGCCCACTTGTAGGAACAACTCACGAATCCAGCGAGACATTGAGAAACTCACCCTGATCACGCTGATTCATTGACGCTAGGCAACTGACCCATTGCCACCAGCAGAGAGTCCATGTTTCCCTGTCTTACTTGATAATTCAGCACATGAGTGATATAAACCCAGTTTGGTAATAGTTAATAGTCCATACCTTAACTTATGGGTTGCGATTCAGTTTCGGTAATAGTCCTTACCGTAACATATGGATCGTTCTAAGATAAAGAGTACTAGATTACCTAAATCCACAAAATCTAAGATTTACTTCTTTTGTCGTTTAAAGAAGGTGGTCCCCCAAATTCGACATTAGGATGATTAGGAAGCCGCAAGGAAGAGTTCCCAGAGGGTTAGTCTGTCTCACAGTCCCTGAACCATATTATTTTCCCTACAGCCTAGCCCTCCCTGTAGTGCTAAAGCCCTAAATGAAGCAAGTCTAGATTTCCCCAATCTCTGGTCTGCCTTGGGCTCCTTTTCAATTTAAATGGGATTATTTGTTACAATCAAAATTATATTATCAGAGACTAAGAGACTACCAGAGGGTATGCGATCAGACTATTGATTGACAGTCACAGTGAATCCCGCTAGGTGGCTGACCCAGCACCTATTCCGTCGGATTATCCTGACTCATGATCTAGAGCCCTCCTAACCGTCCCCTCTCAGCACTACGGGCTTCCCTGTAAGGTGTATTGTGGGCTTATTACAGAGAGAGTGATGAGAGCTAGGCTCAGGTCACGTGGGTCCATTTTGGCAGGAAAAGGAGGCTACCCGTGGGTGAGTGATATTACGATCGCTTCAGGGAACTAAGGATTCAAGTTTCCACTTAACCGTTGAAAGAAGAAGGGAGATAAGCAGTAAGCATGAGTCAGGATAAGTATAAGATATCAATTTTATCATAAAAATTACATTTTGGAAATTATTGTAATTGCAGACCACAAAACATCCGGCAGTTCTTTGTCCGTTTCCTGTACCTGCTGGATATCCTGTATGATACGGAGAAGAGGTGAGTCCATGCAAGCCAGTTGCAGTTACATTCTCATTAGTTCTGGTGACCCAGACTTCAAATTTGGCTGCAATTTATGTGCTGTGATGTATCGTTTAGGTGTGCCAAAGGTCTTTGATCATAAGTTGGAGGGGGCGGTGGGGTAGCCTATGGGTTAAAGCGTTGGCTCGTCACGCCGAAGGTCTTTGATCATAAGTTGGAGTCTAAGGTCTGTCCCATTTAAGATTTATAGTTTGGCTACACCATACATATACTCATTGAGTTGTGAAAATATCATTTGTGACCTGGATCACATCAGGTTTACTACCAACATCAAGCTGAAATGACATGATTTTACTAAAATACTTTTCATGGGTTCATTAAGCCCGATTTATTACTCACACCCAGTGGGTTCTGGAGCCTAAGAGAAAAATGTTGTGGTTCCGATTACCCGACCGACCCTTGAATTCTGGTGCCGACCCTATTTTTTTTTAAGCGTTATGTATAAAATAAGCTTTCAGATACCATTGTTTATTCCCGGCACCAACAGACATCGGTCATTCTTATAAATGAAATAGTTGTCAGAAGAAGCAGTTGATCTTTCAATAGTTATCATCCATGTATATATTCCAGCAACGACACGACGACTTGATGCAGTCTGTATGTCAGGCCACGCTACATGACTTCAACCTATGCATGTTCTACGAGCCCAGCTCAATGGCGGAGAACTACGAGAACGTTGACCCTGCCATAGACGACCCCCATTACCTGGATGATGACATCGTCTTCAAGATCGTCGTCATGTGTCTCAGCACCATCCATCTCCTGCAGAGGAAATGTATGAGCACCTTCGTTGTAATAACTCTTTCTTAATGTTTGAGGGCGGCGGGGTAGTCTAGTGGTTAAAGCGTTGTCTCGTCACGCCGAAGACCCGGGTTCGAATCCCCACATGGGTACAATGAGTGAAGCCCATTTCTGGTGTCCCCCGCTGTGATATTGCTGGAATATTGCTAAAAACGGCGTAAAACCAAACTAAGTCAGTCAGTCAGTCAGTCAGTCTTAATGTTTGATTGTGTTTGCAATTAAACAAGACATTAGCAGTGTTTTTATGTTTCAGAATCAGGTAAACATGGAAAACAAGAGTAATTTAGAAACAGAAGTGAATTGGTTTGTTTGACATTGTACTGTCTGGACAAGTCACATTTGCCTAGTTTAACAGTGTGGAACTAGATCAGTTGGTTAGCTCAATTAACAGTCCAGAGGTTCAGTGGATTTTCACAAAAACTGGTTGCAGCCAATGGGTACCTGGTAGAATGAGATGTCACTCAGACACATGGCTTATCTACAAGGGGCGTATCAAGAGTTTCCGGGCTCGCCATAAACCGATCACACAAATCAACCAAACTTACCATGTTTCTAGAACAGTGTCCTAGCATGTGCTTGACATGCAAAACATGAATTCCATGTGCTATAATTTGCTATATATAGCTGTCAAACAGACAATTAGCTACGCATATGACATTAGCAAAACATCGATGAAACAAATAATCCATGAACATGCTTCATGGGTCATGTTGTTACTCAGGATGAAACCAGGTTCATCACTTTGACCCAGAGACGAAAAATGAAAGTATGTATTGGATACATGTGATGTCACCAATGCTCTAACAGTTTAAAAGAAGTCTTCCATTGGCAAAGTCATGACCTTCGTTTTCTGGTTGACACTCAGGGCGTAATCATGATAGAGTATTTAAAGAAGGGTTCCACAATAAATGGTGCATTGCGTAGGTTGCGTGATCAGATCAGAGAAAAGTGCAGAGGTAAACTTTGCCGAGGTGTCTGGCTCCTCCAGGGCAATGCTCCAGTTCACAAGGCCCAAGTGGCAGTGAGTGCTGTACAGGACCGTGGCTTCAAGATTCTCCCTCACCCAGCCTATTCTCCAGATCCTGACCCTTCTGACGTCTTCCTCTTCCCTCAACTCAAATCTGTCTTCTGGGGCCACAATTTTGAGACGGATGGGGTGGTCATCACTGCTGTGGAGGAGTTTTTAGGGTCACGTGACAAAAATGGTTTTCATACTGGTTAAATATTCTGGAGAAACGGTGGAACAAGTGCATTGAAGTGAAGGGGGATTAGTTTAGGAACAATTTTCATATAGATCATATATAAGTTTAGGAGGCCGGAAACTTTTGGGACACCCCTCGTAGTTCGGTGGAGATGGGGAGGTGATTTGAGTGCATAGACCATGTTGATAATACTGCAATATGTCTCTGAACATCAATTTAAGTTGTAAATCAGGTGCTTTGTTACCGGTATTTCATTATGTTGTATTAGGACATCAGTGTCATGTTTTTCTTCACATTTGACTGGTCAGTTCCATGTTCTGATTAATCAAGCATTAGAATAATACTTTCAATGTTCAGTTTGTGTATAGGAATCTTGTATATTCCGACTGGGTTCAAACATGACCGTAATGCATTCAGGGCTGGTCACATGACTGCTTTTGGAAACCATACTATGTGTAATAGATATATGGAAAGCTTTTGGAAATGTACATTCAACAGTATTATTATTTGATTCAAACTTAATCACTATATTGTGTCATCTCCCCTATATAGGCTCACCTCAAGTGACAGCCGCCATTGCCTTTCTTCTTGCGCTGTTCTCGCACATACTGAACCATGTAACCAACAGACTACAGGGGGTGCTGTATGAGAAGGAACATCCCAATAAGCTGTTAGAGTCACACAAGTCTATAGCAGGTAGGTTGTTTTCCCTTTCTAGTGCTGTGTTTTCTATGTTGTTAGGATGTTTGGCAATCAGTCCAAGCAGATACTGTGAACAGATAATGATATATTCAGTGTTACTATTATTATTATAGGATATTTATATAGCGCACATATCCACGTAACTAGTACATGCTCAAGGTGCTGGAGTCGATCATTGGATGTCAATCTTTCTGAGTAGATGTACATGCTGTGGTGTGGCATCTCAGTGGGCTAGCTCTATAAACCAGGAACAAGTCTGGACTAGTATGAGCAGTCCCACACAACCATGCATGTCACTGCGCAAGTGCAATAATTGTAAACATGATGGAACTTTACCACTTCACCAGAATGAATGTAAGTTTGAAATTAAACATTGAAGATGAGATGTCATTCTCAGGTGTTAATAAGGGCGAGTCACTAGATTCAGATACTGTTCAGTAAGCTGCCAGGACCCAGGAACCCCTTTACTTCAAACACTGATGAAATAGAATACCACTATAGTTGTGTGGTCACTGTGTCCTTCCTGCAGCTCTCCCCCACGATGACCACAACTACTCGTCCACCTCGGACACAGAGCGGGATGAGATGTCCAGTCACGAAGCTGACTACAGGAACAACAGTGTCGACAAAAGCAATATGCTGACTCAGGAGGAAGGCAATAAACCAAAGGTATTGATTCCTACAAATTAGGTGGTATGGAGGACGACCAGTATACTATACATTAATCTAATCCTATATGCATCATAAACGGTTAAGTAATGTGAAAATAAGTGGCAGCCACACGATAACTGAAATTTCATGGAATTAAGCATTGTATGTACATGATAATACATGTTTTCTTTTTCAGGTGTCAATAAATTTAGGCACAACAACAATGTAAATTTATGAAGGATATGTCATAATCTGATTGTTTGGTGCACTGAAAAATTAATGAGGACTCTTGTATGTAAAATACAGATAAAGATTATGTGTTTAAGGGGTATGTGATGGTTACAGAAAGTTGTAACATTGGTGTCCTTTCTGATAGTAGTAGACGAGTAAAAGGTGCCAGTTAAGCGTCATCCATGATATTTAAAACACCATCTGCTACAAATGGATTTTCTGAACATCGAATATTCTAAAATTGTTTTCAAATGAATAAAGCTCTTCTTGTTCATGTGAACACTGCGATAATTACAGACAACCATATTGTTTAATAATGATAGCAAGTTACACAAAGAACACCCTGACACACACAGCAGTTGTTGTTCCTGTGTAAATGGTGTAACCCAAAAGCTGTACAGAAAATGCTTTGTGCCAGTGTTATTATCCCCTGATCATGAAAGAAAGGAAAATCTTCTGATTGCAGAAGCACAAGCAATCACGACTCCGCAACTTGCGGCGACGTAGACGGCGTCACCATAGCGATAGTAGTGACATGTCAGACTTGTCCGAAGATTCTGATCTCAGTGAAGGTGAGGATTTGTCTGACTTATTTACTTAATGGCAGAACTAAGTGGCTTGAAATGTTGGGAAAAGGTAACAAATACATCTTAAAATTGGTACCAGTGAAGATCCGGGTTAGAATTGATCTTCAGTAACCCATGCTTGTCATAAGAGGCGATCTAACAGGATCGGGTGGTCAGGCTCGCTGACTTGGTTGACACATGTCATCGTATCCCACTTATGTAGATCGATGCTCATGCTGTTGATCACTGGATTGTGTGGTGGTGACTCAATTATTTACAGACCACCGCCATATAGCTGGAATATTTGCTGAGTGCGGCGTAAAACTAAACTCATTCACTCACTTAATATTGGTTGCAGGTATTCCTGTGCCACAAAAAGTTTCTGACTGTACAGTCCGTGCCACTAACTCATCTACAATTGATATAGTACTCAAGAACTCTGTAGCATGAGCGTCCATCAATATCTGCGTCCATGTGTTGTTTACAGGTGGTGAGCACATGGAAGAGGATGTTGTCTCTGAAGATTCGGATGATGATCTAGCCACATACTTTGACAATGACTCTGATTCAGATCTCTCTGATTCCTTGATGGAAAGTCAGGACCTTAAGACTGGCTTTGCATCATCTCATGGCAACAATCAGTCCAGGTTGCGACTGAGTTCAGGGTCATCTGTGAAAATGGCCCAAGAGAATGGCAATTGGTCAGATCTCATGGGAAATCAGAATCTAGTAACGTTGTCATCTGAGTTGTTCTCCTCGTCAATGACCTTCCTTGGGCAGGACCTCAATCTTGATCTGCTCAACACAAAACAGTACCAAGCAGACATTGCAGCTTATGAGAACTGTAAAGATGTCATACAAGGCAGGAAAGATGTTCCAGTTCCACCAGGTAGGTTGAGCATCTTTGTCGACACTTCTATATTTGCAACTGTGAATGAATCACAATTTTAATAATACACTTAACGATGATACAGTTCATATCTGGAAAGTAAAGTTAACCACCATTGTGGTCTAATGGATAGACTGTCTCCTCAGAGAGCCTGGGTGAATCAAGGCTTTGTATAATAGCACATAAGATGTCAGAATATGATGTTCACAAATAAATATCATACTTCATCATGCTTACATTTGTTGTACTTGAATCATTTGATGTCAGAACTTCATATCATGATAATGTATTGTATGTAATGCCTCTGCCCTTCTGAGACTAGAATTTGTCTCCAGAAACCCATGCTTGTCATAAGTCGACTAACAGGATTGATTTAGTTGACTGCTAGACTGCTATCTGTTGACTACAAGACTGCTATCTGTTGACTACAAGACTGCTATCTGTTGACTACAAGACTGCTATCTGTTGACTACAAGACTGCTATCTGTTGACTACTAGACTGCTATCTGTTGACTACTAGACTGCTATCTGTTGACTACTAGACTGCTATCTGTTTACTACAAGACTGCTGTCTGTTTACTACTAGTATGCTATCTGTTTACTACTAGACTGCTATCTGTTGACTACTAGACTGCTATCTGTTTTCTACTAGACTGCTATCTGTTTACTACTAGACTGCTGTCTGTTTACTACTAGACTGCTATCTGTTTACTACTAGACTGCTATCTGTTGACCACTAGACTGCTATCTGTTGACTACTAGACTGCTATCTGTTGACTACTAGACTGCTATCTGTTGACTACTAGACTGCTGTCTGTTTACTACTAGTATGCTATCTGTTTACTACTAGACTGCTATCTGTTTACTACTAGACTGCTATCTGTTTACTACTAGACTGCTATCTGTTTACTACTAGACTGCTGTCTGTTTACTACTAGACTGCTATCTGTTTACTACTAGACTGCTATCTGTTGACTACTAGACTGCTGTCTGTTGACTACTAGACTGCTATCTGTTGACTGCTAGACTGCTGTCTGCTGACTACTAGACTGCTATCTGTTTACTACTAGACTGCTATCTGTTGACCTACTAGACTGCTGTCTGTTTACTACTAGACTGCTATCTGTTTACTACTAGACTGCTATCTGTTTACTACTAGACTGCTATCTGTTGACTACTAGACTGCTATCTGTTTACTACTAGACTGCTATCTGTTGACTACTAGACTGCTATCTGTTTACTACTAGACTGCTATCTGTTTACTACTAGACTGCTGTCTGTTGACTACTAGACTGCTATCTGTTGACTACTAGACAACATACATTGGTCAAGTAGTCAACTGACAACAGTTTAGTAGTCCGCAGTCAGGTGGTCAACAGACAACAGTCTAGTAGACAACAGACAACAGTCTAGTAGTAAACTGACAAGAGTCTAGTGGCCAACAGTCACCACCAGTCTTGCAGACAACTGCTATCTGTTGACTACTAGACTGTCATCAGTTGTCTAGAGGACTATATAGTTTGTTGCTTTCTACACTTTGATCTGTTGACCACTAGACTAGTCAGTTGACTACTAGACTGTTGTTAGTTGACTACTAGACTATTGTCAGTTGACTACTTGACTGTTGTCTGTTGTCTACTGGACTGTTGTCAGTTGACTACTAGACTGTTGTCTGTTGTCTACTAGACTGTTGTCAGTTGACTACTAGACTGTTGTCAGTTGACTACTAGACTGTTGTCTGTTGTCTACTAGACTGTTGTCAGTTGACTACTAGACTGTTGTCTGTTGTCTACTAGACTGTTGTCAGTTGACTACTAGACTGTTGTCAGTTGACTACTAGACTGTTGTCTACTGGACTGTTGTCAGTTGAGTACTAGACTGTTGTCAGTTGACTACTAGACTGTTGTCTGTTGTCTACTGGACTGTTCTTGTTGTTGACTACTTGACCAGTGTCTGTTGTCTACTGGGCTGTTGTCAGTTGACTACTAGACTGTTGTCTACTGGACTGTTGTCAGTTGACTACTAGACTGTTGTCAGTTGACTACTAGACTGTTGTCTACTTGACTACTAGACTGTTGTCTGTTGTCTACTGGACTGTTGTCTGTTGTCTACTGGACTGTAGTTGTTGACAGACTGTTGTTAGTTGACTACTAGACTGTTGTCTACTAGACTGTTGTCTACTAGACTGTTTGTTGTCTACTAGACTGTTGTCAGTTGACTACTAGACTGTTGTCTGTTGCCTACTAGACTGTTGTCAGTTGACTACTAAACTGTTGTCTGTTGACTACTAGACTGTTGTCAGTTGACTAGTAGACTGTTGTCTGTTGTCTACTGGACTGTTGTCTGTTGTCTACTGGACTGTTGTCAGTTGTCTACTGGACTGTTGTCTACTGGACTGTAGTTGTTGACAGACTGTTGTCTGTTGTCTACTAGACTGTTTGTTGTCTACTAGACTGTTGTCAGTTGACTACTGGACTGTTGTCAGTTGACTACTAGACTGTTGTTTGTTGTCTACTAGACTGTTGTCAGTTGACTACTAGACTGTTGTCTGTTGTCTACTGGACTGTTGTCAGTTGACTACTAGACTGTTGTCAGTTGACTACTAGACTGTTGTCAGTTGACTACTAGACTATTGTCTGTTGTCTACTGGACTGTTGTCTGTTGACAACTAGACTGTTGTCTACTAGACTGTTGTCAGTTGACTACTGTAGTTGTTGACAGACTGTTGTTAGTTGACTACTAGACTGTTGTCTACTAGACTGTTGTCAGTTGACTACTAGACTGTTGTCTGTTGTCTACTGGACTGTTGTCAGTTGACTACTAGACTTGTCTATTGTCTACTTGACTGTTGTCAGTTGACTACTAGATTGTTGTCAGTTGACTACTAGACTGTTGTCAGTTGAGTACTAGACTGTTGTCAGTTGTTTACTGGACTGTTGTCTACTGGACTGTAGTTGTTGACAGACTGTTGTCTGTTGTCTACTAGACTGTTGTTAGTTGACTACTAGACTTGTCTGTTGTCTACTGGACTGTTGTCAGTTGAGTACTAGACTGTTGTCTGTTGTCTACTAGACTGTTGTCTGTTGTCTACTAGACTGTTGTCAGTTGACTACTAGACTTGTCTGTTGTCTACTGGACTGTTGTCTGTTGTCTACTAGACTGTTGTTGTTGACTACTTGACCAGTGTCTGTTGTCTACTTAACTGTTGTCAGTTGACTACTAGACTGTTGCCTGTTGACCACCTGACTTGGGACCACTAGACTGTTGTCAGTTGACTACTTGACCAATATCTCTTGTCTACTCTACTGGTGTTGAGTAGACTGATGTCTGTTGACTGTCTGCAGGTTTCCTGTCGTCCATGGAGGCTCATCATGTGGCAGACATCACCAAGAAGCTGGTCAACTTCCAGATCGAGACTGACACCGAAGTCAGTGCATGTCCCACAGACACAGGTACAGATGTGTTGGTCGATGTATCTCTGATCACTGGTCAGTAGCTGGAGCAAGTAATTAGTAAAAGATGTTTCACAAGGTTTTTTAGCTCTCATGACATACCTGAGTGAGCTTATCTAGTGACAATCTATGGAGAAAAATATTTTACTCCATATAAATCTACATTAACCCCCTGGATGCCACAGGGACATATATGTCCTTCCCCTTCAACCCTCAATTTGAAGTCCAATAAAAATCAAAGTATCCCACGCACACAAATACACTTCAGAGTTTCGAATTCTGCGGGAAATTTCCTGTTTCTTGATACCATCCACTATTATTTTAGACAAAGCTCAAGTGCTGAAAATGACCTTTCAAAATAGGCTTCATCGAAAATGGCGACATTTTTGACACAGTATGAAATCGCGATTCACAGCGTTATTTGCTGTATGTTTTGAAATGTGAAAATCGGAATTACTGTGAATATTGAATTTCAAAAATAACACATTTATGATCACTGATATCAGTTTTACATGATTTCGCTAATTATAATTCTGAAACGTTGCCGATGAATCTAGAATCGGTTGGAATGTTTTCGAAAATGCACTTTCACGAACACCGTAGAGCGCTTTCAGCCATATTGGATAGTGTTTACAAAATCACGTTTCGCGAAGGCCGGTATTGAGACGCCTATTACATCACGTAGATTTCATATTCAGCTTCGAAAAATGCATCACTGAATTCCCCATACATTTTAGAATCAATTTGAAACTAGTCTGTGTCACCAATAATAACTGTCTAGATGAAATGAAACGAAACATATTGGGTGTAAAAACGAACGCTGTGCTTGAAAGACTGCGTTTGTGTGAAATGTACATGCACACATATTTAAAGGAATTGTCTTGTTCACTGCATAATTTTGTGTCGTTTTATAGACAAAAGAATGATGCATATAGATCGGCAAGGTGCGCGTTTGTTGGCAACGTTTTATGATTCTCTATCATTGTTTTTGATAATATATTCAATTCATATTCGATTAAATAATATTGTGATGACAGGATATCAAACTCTAACTAATTATAGGAAAATTGTTGAAAAATATATATACCATCTCATGTGTTAATTCGGACAAATCTTATATCCATATTCTAATATATAGTTCCATATATCAAAAGCTATCTTTATGCATCTTTCCTTGCATGCGTATGAAGAGAAATAGCTTCAAAATCATAAACAAACAAAATTCTTATCCAAAACAAAATATTCGGGTGTTGTGAAATATTATTTTTATTTACGTTAAATTGATGCCAAACAGGTGCGCGTGTTGGTCACAATAAGATACGCTGTCAAACTGTCTAATTGTTGATATATTCAGGACACTATTTAAATGGAAAAATCAGTCATTTTATGTTTTGTCTAAAGAGTGTTAACTTCTGACATAGAAGTCTAGACCTTTGATACAATGAATGGAAATTAAGTGAGATATATACTCATCAGAATACCAATGTAATAAAGCCGTTTTCCGCGTCGCGAAAATGCATAAAACAAGCGATGACGTCAACTAAAATGTTGTATTATTTTCAGCAATTTTCGTTACATTTGAAGATATGGCTAGTACTCTGGTAATAACGATGCAAAATTAGTCAAATTACATCTACACAAACAGGAGAATATGGGAATCTAAGAACTACTTATATATCGGATAGGACCATTCAAATCGCTATTACGTGCTTTCACATGTAATACGTTGTCATCTTTTCTTATAAATTGTGAAACTACCAAAGCATCCGTTCACATTGGGGAACTTTGAATTGGAATAGTGAGGTTCACCATGAATATAAAATAACGAAAATATAGCGTCCGCATCCACAACACATTTTCTCAAGTGATCTGAGTTACATTGACCTAGTGTTACGCTAACGGAGTTATGCCCCTTATCATTATCGTGTATGACCTCTCTTTTAAGTGGTTTGGCGTCATAGAAGAAAATACATTTTTGACATTTATTGCGAGTCATTTTTAATGTTGAGTATAACGCGTATGCACAAGCACTAAACCCAATTCATATACACTTATGTCGTTCAGATATCAGGCTGTATTTTCTTCGCTCACACTTTCCTCGTAAAGATGCCCCATTAAAACATTCGGTAGCACAGTGCTTTTATCGGTGCTTGATAAAAGCGGAGAAATTTACTGTTTTTAGCCATAACAAAAATTTTGACAACATTTAGCAAGGTCTATTTCTCAAACCGCCAAGGTAGTTGCACTTATATTTATACCAACGGATAGGAAATTTAATATTCTACATTTCTGTGTAATTTTATAGCCTTACGTAGATCCAGGACCACATGAGAGCAATTCTCGCACAACATTCACTTTTCAAACTGCATGAAAATGTGTGCCTGAAAAAATACTCGGCAGCCAGGGGGTTAAAGAAAATTGTTTCTCAAAATTAACATTAACAATAAAATGGAATGTTGGGTATTGACAACAATCAACTTGGTTACGTTAGGAAGGTGTATTGTAACCCATAATATCACTAATGCAGTAATCATAATTCACTAACAAATGAAGTAATTAGTGTATTGAATTCAGGTTGTAAATAAAGATAACAGAAGTGGCATGTATTCAGTGTACTGAATGATCAGTTGTAGTACTGGAGTTGTTGTCATCAACATGATTGTGTTTCAGATCCATCTGGACTCACTGAGTCTGAGATTGAGGCTGATGATGACAATTCCTGTGATAGCTACAACGACAGGTAAGATGCTTTATATTTAGAAATTAGCATCTGGAAAAAAGGTGAAACTCTTCGTGGCCAGCATAAAGTTTGTAACCATAGAAACATTCAACAAAATGGCTTTCAACACAACAAATTGCAGATGAAAGAATGCTTGCACTATATTGTAATATGAAATGCAGTGTGTGGATCATTATTGCAATGAAATCCAGTGTGAAAGTCAGGCCAATATCATCACTATTATCTACCTATAAAGGACTGCCCCTCCAACATGTCCAAAGAAACTTTACCTGTGAAGGTCTGGGTTAGAATGAACCTTCAGTAACCCATGCTTGTCGTAAGAGCCGATTAACGGGATCGGGTGGTCAGGCTCTCTGGCTTGGTTGACACATGTCATCGGTTCCCAATTGCGCAGATCGATGTTCATGCTGCTGATCACTAGATTGTCTGGTCCAGACTTGATTATTTACCGACCGCCGCCATATAGCTGTAATATTGCTGAGTGCGGTGTAAAACTAAACTCACTCACTCACTCCAAAGAAACTTGGTATTCACTGTTTAATGTACAGAAATGTCTTTTCCCTTCACCATGTATACATCAAGCTTCAACAATATTGAAATGATAGTATACAGTAATATCTGCTCTGTCAAAGTGTACCCAAGAAGATGCATGTAAGAACTGGACCTCAGCAGCCCATGCTTGTTATGAGAGGTGGTTAATGTCATTAAATCTGAATCGCACGGATCGATGCTCATGATATTTATACCTGGATTGTCTGGTCAAGACTTGATTATTTACCGACTGCTGCCATATAGCTGTAATATTGCTGAGTGAGATGTTGATCAACAAACAACCAAATCTGTCAAAGTCTGTTTTCATTTTTTTATGTTAAAACACTGAAAGTGGATGAATGTTTAGGCTCTGTGCAGTTTTATGACACCAGCTGAACTCTCATTTCTCGTTTATAATAAGTTCATTTGCGTGGAGAGCAGAAGGTTATTGGTTTAATACTCTGGCCTCGTCATACAAAATGATGTTACCATTTTGCAATTGTTGCTCTGCCAGGTGCTAAGAATTATGGGAATGAAACAATACTGTGATAAGCAGACAGACCATTATGTGCACACTTTGATTTGTACATTGTTTGTCAGGGCGGAGGCTGAGCGGCTGAGACTGCAGCGGGTGATCGAGGTTATCCAGACAGAGGGTCTGCTGTCCACTGTCAAGGTCATGTGTGACTGGATGCAGTGCCATTCCACCATCATCAACACTTGTGCTCAGGTACGGCACTGGGACAAAGACATAAACTCTTGTTTCGGCTCTGCAAGATGAAAAAGTCTAATTTAGGAAAATAATATTGTAAATACTTATGTGTATTTGATTGAATACCCAGGTTCTCCTTTCTCAAAACTAATCTTTGCTACACGACTTTCACAAACTCACTATCTTCTACATTGATTTATGATAGCAGTAAGACTGAGCACAAAGACTGCTATGCGGAAGAATGCCTGGGACTGAAGGTCATGGTGAACCATCACATATCGTCCATTCTTTCACCATCCAGTTAGTTCATCATCTCCAAATGTGCTGAAATGATGAACCAAAAATAATATGATGTCAGCACCGAATTTGTGTCAGATTTGTTCATGGCACTGAAATGAAAAGAATTGGGGTTTGTTTTTATATGTCATCAAGGTGAATTGGGTACTCAGGATCAGTGACGCGGTTGGTTGTATATTGTGTGTAAGACTGTGACAGTTTATGTACGATGTATATGTGATGAGACTGATGTTTTTCAGAGCTCCCAGTCCTTGTGGTGCAGATTGTCAGTTCTGCTCAACTTTCTGCCTCAGGAAAAAAGAATTGATCAGCCATGGTGAGAGTACTATCAGCTAATATTACTTTGATCCATCAAAAGGATTAGAAGGCTTGAGAATATCAAAGTTGGACAACTCACTAAAGGAGTGTTGTGTTCACCAGACATCTGTCAAGAGTGTCGACTAATCTTTGCAATGCCCAGTTTCTGACCTTGCCACTTCCAGCCTTCTTTTCTTGTGTCAGAACATGAGTTGTGTCCCTTGTGATGAACACATGACATCCAATCAGATCACTGTCTTTATTTTTATTGTTTCACTAAGATGACTACCATGGCGAGGACTTGGTCAGTCAGATAATACAAATATTTTCAGATATCATTCCTGACAATCTAGCAAGATCACGCATTACCACAGTTAAAGATGCTTATGACTGCTGCATTTTGCTCTTACAATAGCTGAGAAATACGGACTAGTGAGACTGGTATCAAGTAGGACTGCACATTGTAGCAAGAGAAAACGCTCAGCAGGGGTTGTTTAAAAGTAGTGTTGCCTCTCAGTCTCTGTCATATACATCCTATCATGTAAGTTAAAAACTGTGAAGTTTGCACTCAAACATTTATGAGCACATAGGCAAGTTGATTTAGGAAATGGAATGGAAAACATTTGTCTTTGTTTTATTTTATTTCCATAGCTATTGCCGTAACCAGGATTTTGTGTTCAAAACATGAATGAAGAATTGGTCAAATGTTCTGTAATTGGAGTATTAATCTGCTTCTTAGTCCACTCCTATTTTAGGCAGGAAGTGGGTATGAAATGGCAAGGAGGGAACTAGTCTTTGATATGGACTAGTGAACACACTTGTCTCAGGAGGATGCCAGGAGCCTATCCATAAGTCTGTTGTCTGTTGTCCACATGTCTGTAAAGCTTGACTGTTTTAAACTCACTTAAAATCCTCCATGTTGACCAGATTTGTTGTCAAATGTCCATCTCTCACCATACTTCTCACAAAATCTGCCTGGAAGCATAGCTAATGATGATGCAAACATTTCTGCTGTTGAGGACTTCAGTAACCACCAGGATGAAGCAAACTCCATCAAGACAGTCCATCATTTCAAACTTTGTATACGTGAAAAACGATTTAGTGCATGACATTTTGAATATTGACCACGTTCCAAGCAACACGTTTGTCTCACTCTGATTGGAAATGATGGAAACATTGCACTGCCTCTCTTCATTGGTAAGCCCAAAGTTCCCTTTTTACAAACTAAGATGAACAGATGTCAGAAGCAGAGTGTTTGTTTTGTATGTATTTTCTCAATGTGTTTGTGTTCCACAGATCAGATATGGTCTGATGAATTAAAGATGCGGCTGACGGACAGTAGCGCACCAAGCTGGTTTCAGTTGTTCCCTCTCCCGAGAGGACATCAACCTGTCTGGCTTCTCCGCCCTGGCCGACATCCAGGCCACCATTGACTTCACCTCCAAACACAGGGGACAGCTCAGTGAGATTCAGGAGGTGAGTTAATTATTGGCCAGTGTCAAAAAATGAACAACATAAAACAACTTTCTTCATCATTTGGATCATTTAACCTAAATTTTCTCAGGAATTCATTCTCAAATATTTCCCCTACAAATTGACTGACAAAACAGTAGTAACTCTCATAGTGTTGTCTCCCTTTTATCCATGACTGGCCCTGTTTGACATCATATTGTTTACTTCAGTAAAATGAACGTAAGATCTGCATTTCTATCACCCTCAATCACTGTTTACCACTTCAGCTCGCACTACAGCACACTACAGGAAATGTTAGGTACATTGTAACTTATTTTGGTTTGAAATTATGACACATTGTGTATTTGTTGCCAGACATTTCTCCGGATCACCTGCCTGCGTCACTTCGGCCACTTCTTGGCCCAGTCCGGCTGTGTGGAGTTCACTTACAACCAGGAACAGGCCATGTTCTTTGGACCCTCACACACTGACCCTGAAGTCAGTGAGAAGGCAGCACAGGAGAAGATGGTAAGTGCGATACAGACATTTGTCCCCGTTATACATCATTCTAGCACGACATTGTGTGAAACTCGATTCTGATTGCCTGGGAGCTCATCAAAACCATACTTAAATGGCAGTTTAAGACCGCTAACTAAAGTGACCAATTCACCGAGTATGAATACAATGAACTTGTTGACCCTTTTGTTTGTAAACAAACATGTAGGACATCTGCGGTTTCTACGTCGGCAGCATCTTTGATGTTTTTGAAGTAAAAAGTGAATGGTTTGAAGAAGAATTTCTTGTCAGTAATCCCAGTGAACAAACTACGAAGCTGGAAAATTCGTCAGCAGCGCAAAAGTGGCAGTATTCAAACCGGGTCTAGATCTAGCAGGCATGACGTCGACAAACACACTTCGGCCGACACGTCCTAACCTGACCGCTTCCATTCCTTCCGTAATGCCCAGTCCTTCCGCTTCCACTGTCCATGTATCCCACATAAAACGTGTTCGCGTTCGGTTTTTAAATTACATTTAGCGGTCTTAAATCAACGATAAAGGACCGCAACATTGAAAACAGAGTAGCTTTATCTTCTAATTCAATGTTTGTATGCAGCATTTTAATGCTGAAATGATAAACAATCTTGAGAAGCATGTACCGGTTTGGTCTACAGCCATGGAAATCTGTTGTGTTGGTGGAGGAGAAACTTGTCTTGATTGATCTCTATCACATTGATCTATGTAGGCATTGGTTTGAGCCAGTGGCTCAGGTGTTTGCTTGCCACTTCAAACACCAAAGTTTGATTCCGCCAACAATAGCATAATTGAAGCACTTGATGTCACTCGCAGTGATATCGACAGAATTTGACTAATACCATACTTATTCTGACTGATCATTTGTCAAGATTTGATCATAGAATTAATGCAAATTAACACAGATGTGTTAAAAAGATTGTTATTTCTGTTACTTTTTTTTACATTTTTTGCTGATAATTTCACTGGAGTAGAACCTGTTTTTTCTTTAATGCTGTAATACAAATAGCAGCAGTGCCAAGCAGCGATGGAGAAATAGAGTTGTCTCCCTTATACCACACAACTTGTCCCAACAGCTGTTGGCATGGCACAAACTCAAGAAAAAGTATTGCATTTCACATAATGCGTTCACAGGCTGTTTTAGCTCCAGTTCTACAGGATGCCCTGACATGCATTACAGTCGATATTTATGCAATGTGCAAACCAGTGCAAGAAATACATATCTTACATGGTTAATCATGAAGTGACTCTTGTGAAAAAAATTCATTCTAAAAACAAAATATGTGCTATTCATTCCTATGTTTCCTCGCTTCCACAGATGACATCATCCCTCTCAGTAAAGTGAAGTGAGAAAAACAGGCTGTCAGTTTCCATTTAGTCATGGCTATTTAACTCGAATAGTTACATCATCTGTGTTCAAGGCAAATACCTGCGTACTATAGTGTTACGCATACACATTCGCTTGTTTATTAGTTTAGCAGTTGTGCAAAAATTACTGCTTCCCATTTGGTCTAAACAGTGAGAGAAAAAGCTATTAGAACTTATCAATTTCTGAATAGTGTAACATGTCTCCTTATTTAAACAGTTCCTTCTTCTATCATTAAGACGAGAATGTTTTAATGGGAACATGGAGCCGGGCCACACACGTTGAGGTGTCTATGCAGGAAGCTAGGACTGTTTGCAAAGTAGGAAAAAGTTGTACTTGTTAAATGCGCAATGTTGAGATATCCTTACGAAATGCTGATTTACACTGACAAGGTTTTCATTTCAAATAGGGATGGTGACGGATCTGGGTTTGAGTTATAATGAATGTTTTGAATCTGGTTTCATCTTGTAAGAGCTTTGGACTCGCACAGATATGTTTTGTCAGTCTTAACTTATCAGCCACTTCTTGTAGTGCCCTTTTTGCTGGATTATTTTGGCTACAGATCCTAGGGAATGTTTCGCTGGATTTTGTTTTGTTTCATTTGAGTGCAGAGAATACGCACTTAGGTTCCATACTGGAATGTTATCATATCTCCACTGGATATCTGTGTGAGGTATCTTCCTTCCCAAGACGTTGCCTTGCAACTGTTGTCCCATATAACTTTGTTTTTCAAACTGTGGGACCAGTAGTACCCATGCTTATCCCATTTTGTTTTTGTCCATGTACCTTGGACGTATTTCCTTTTGTAGGTCCAAGGAAGTCGCCATCTCTATCTGTCTTACCAGTAACTTGGTACAGATGTTCTCTCGCTCATGTAATTAGATTAGATACCTATTTATAGCATCACATATTTCCGATGGTGCGTCAAAACAAAGTTATGGTGTTGAATGGGTTCAGTGTATTGACCGAAGTAGGGTGGAAATACAGTGCATTGGACAGTAGAAGATGTTGCCTGTCCAGAGTGTGCTGGGGTTGAATGTGTGTCGTCTGACCTTGACTGTTTGAAACAGGGATCATGCTGTCAGCCATTGGTTTGCAGGGTCCACTTAATGACAGTGGGTGAGTGAGTGAGTATGGTTTTACGCTGCTTTTAGCAATATTCCAGCAATGTCACGGCAGGGGACACCAGAAATGGGCTTCACACATTGTACCCATGTGGGGAATCGAACCCGGGGCATCGGCGTGACGAGCGAACGCTTTAACCACCAGGCTACCCCACCGCCCCACTTAATGACAGACAGCTATGACATAGCTGGAATACTAGGGTTGTAATGACTGGCCAAGTCCTTCAATAACTCCTCACAATGGAATTATGTTTTGTTACAGCTGAAGACCCTGGAACACCTGGGTTAGAATTTGTCTTCAGCAACGCATGTTTGTTGTAAAAGGTAACGGGGCGGTGGGGTAGCCTAGTGGTTAAAGCGTTGGCTCGTCACGCCGAAGACCCGGGTTCGATTCCCCACATGGGCACAATGTGTTAAGCCCATTTCTGGTGTCCCCCGCCGTGATATTGCTGGAATATTGCTAAAAGCGCCGTAAAACTAAACTCAGTCAGTCAGTCAGTCAGTAAAAGGTAACTTACGGGATCAGGTTGTCAGACTCACTGACTTGATTGACACATCGTATCGCAGGTGTGTAGATCAATGCTCATGATATTGATCACTTGATTGCCGTGTCCAGGTTCGATTATTTACAGACCAACATGAGCGGGGTTAAACCAAAAACAGAAGAAATAAAAACAGAAGTGCAAAAGATCTTGTGTGCAAAAAGGAGTTTTGATAAACATCTGGATTCTTTTTTTCATACCATATCTAATGCTTATGCACCCTTTAATGGAAATTCTAGCACAACATAGTGTGATACTCGATTCTGATTGGCTGAGAGCTCATCAAAACCGTACTTAAATGGCAGTTTAAGACCGCTAATGAAAGTGACCGATTCACCGCGTATGAATACAACGAACTCGTTGACCCTATTGTTTGTAAACAAACATGTCGGACATCGGCGATTTCTACCTCGGCAGCATCTTTGGTGTTTTTGAAGTAAAAAGCGAATGGTTTGAAGAAGAATTTCTTGACCCTAATCCCAGTGAAGAAACTACGAAGCTGGAAAATCCATCAGCAGCGCAAAAGCTGCAGTATATTCAAACCGGGTCTAGATCTAGCAGGCATGACGTCGACAACACGCGTCGCCCCACACGTCCTAACCTGACCGCTTCCATCCCGGCCGTAATGCCCAGTCCTTCCACTTCCACTCTCCATGTATCCCACATAAAACGTGGCATGTCAGGTCTTTTCCAAATTGGGAATAGTAGGCTGGTTATCAACAATTATTTCCGTGAATAAAGTTAGCGGCGGCTAAACTTAGCGAGTTCACGGCTTGAATTGGGGCGAGTCGATTGTCATACAGTAGGGGAGATCAATAATTCACTTTAGAAAAATCAAATAATTGTACTTGCTCACAGTATAAACTGTATTTTTTTTTATTTGTGTATGTTACTTCTTACAAATACAAGCATACTGGTTCCGGAAATAAAGCTTTTATGTCGTTAAAAATGTCTTATTTTGTTAATTATACAACCTGTCCCTCAACGGGACAATTCCAAGCGATTTCCAGGAAAAAGGCCCCTTCACGCCTTGTGTTCTTGTGCGCCAAACAGTTCGGGTTTAGAACGCTTATCAGTCGTGCTAGAATGAATATATAGATACTCTGTTTTTAATTTTGGGGTCCTTTATTGTTGATTTAAGACCGCTAAATGTTTAATTTAAAACCTCACTCTAACGCGTTCGGTTTTTAAATTACATTTAGCGGTCTTAAATCAACGATAAAGGACAGCAAAATTGAAAACAGAGTAGCTTTATCTTCTAATTTTATGACATTCAGATATGAATGATATTTCAGTTTCCAAGTTGTCGTTGAATGCCATCATGAACATGTCATCTCTGATAATTCTGATAACAAATGCTATTGAGAGATGTGTGATTGCTGATGATTGCATATTTAATTTACGTTGAAGTATCATTACCCACTGATTAATGATAATGACAGAGAAGATTTAGATCTGTTCATGTCGGCTTTTTTTTATTCAATTACTGTTTCGAGTTCACCCAGAGATTATGTCAAGGATAACCTCCGAGTAATTGCTGTTTGAGTGAATGACAAAGCATGACAACTGAAAAATGAAACAACTGCATCCAAATTAAGAGGTGATTTCAGTGCGAGTGTAAACCATGGTACTATTTCCATGAGTGAATTACATACCAGTATCCCATTTCTCAGTGATTACCAGGATCGGGTGGTCAGGCTCGCTGGCTTGGTTTGACATATTGTAGAAGTTCCCAATTGCACAGGTCATTGCTCATGCTGTTGATCACTGGATTGTCTGGTTCAGACTCGATTATTTACAGACACCTGCCATATAGATGGAATATTGCTGAGTGCAGCGTAAAACTAAACTCACTCACTCACTCAGTGATTACTCAGCTGTAACTGTGTGTGAAGGAAATGGACTTTTGACAGCAGTGTTTCTTCACAACAACCCTGTCCTAAACAGTCAATAAATACAGGGATTT